CCCCAAAACCCCAAAACCCCAAAACCCCAAAACCCCTATAGTGGAAATAAAAGTTGAACTAGAACTCAGCTTTATGAGTCAAACTCATTTCGAGACTTTCTTCTATTTCTGAGTGAACTTCTTTCTTGTGTTCCCTGCTTTTTCTTATCAGTGGGATTAAGATGCAGACTGAGATTAAAGTCATGCCAATTATATCAAGAAGGGTGAAGCTGACATAGAAGAAGATGACATCTGCAAGGAGGACAAAGATAACTTCGACATAGTTCAAAGGTGCTAGAACTGAAGCGTCTTCATATTTTGTAGCAATACTTAATAATATTTGTGTTCCAGCATTACTAAATCCAATCATAATAGCTATCAGCCAATCAGTGTTTGAGTAGTCTCCAAAATTGTTAAATTCAGGAAATATGAGGATCATAAAAGCACTTTCGATCACTAATGCCATTGAGAAATAGAATGGAGAAAAGATAAAATGAAGGTACTTATTCATCTGCTTTGTTAGGACAACATTGAGAGCATTTGCAACGCTCTCTGCTAAGCAAATAAAAATGCCAATTATCTGCATTATGTAGCTTGTTTCAAGATTCTCTTTATCTTCCTTGAATGAGATCATGATTACTCCAGCAAAGGCTCCCATCATACTTGAAATATCAACACATATTAGTTTTTCTCCCAGAAAAACTATTGCCATTCCTATTATAAAGATAGGCTGAAGGTTTAAGATCAGGGTTGCTTTGGTTGCTACAATCAAGCTGATAGCATAGAAGAAGGCTATAACAACAACTGAACATATGATACTTCTCGCAGCAAGGAGCCATCTTGCTTCCTTAGCAATGGTAAATATCTGTACTTTATGCTATCTTACCACACATCAGTTGAATAGAAAGAATACAGAACCCCTGACTAGAAACAATGTGAATATATTCATAGTTGGGTTCGAGCTGAATAGATATTTTGTGAATATGATCATATTAGCATGTGCTCACATAGAAAGACACATGAGAAGCACCCAAAGAATTTCATTTAGATTAAATTCTAAGTTCTAAATTCTATACGGATTTCTTATCTTGGGGTTTTGGGGTTTTGGGGTTTTGGGGTTTTGGGG